AAGGTCTAAACCAGGTCTGAACCAAGTCTAAACCAGGACTTTGTGAGGTCTAAACCAGGTCTAAACCAGGTCTGAACCAAGTCTAAAAAAAAAAGAACTTAAATGACGTCTGAAGCAGGTCTTGAGAAATTCTAATCCAGGTCTGAATCAGGACTTCCAGCCAGGTTTAAACCAGGTCTAAAACAGGCCTGACCCAGATCTTTGTGAGGTCTAAACCAGGTCTGAACCAAGTCTAAACCAGGACTTTGTGAGGTCTAAACCAGGTCTGAACCAAGTCTAAACCAGGACTTTGTGAGGTCTAAACCAGGTCTGAACCAAGTCTAAACCAGGAGTTTGTGAGGTCTAAACCAGGTCTGAACCAAGTCTAAACCAGGACTTTGTGAGGTCTAAACCAGGTCTAAACCAGGTCTGAACCAAGTCTAAAAAAAGATCTTCCAGAGGTCTAAACCAGGTCTAAACCAGGTCTAAACCAGGACTTGGGGAGGTCTAAACCAGGACTTGGGGAGGTCTAAACCAGGACTTGGGGAGGTCTAAACCAGGACTTGGGGAGGTCTAAACCAGGACTTGGGGAGGTCTAAACCAGGACTTGGGGAGGTCTAGCTCAGGTCCAGCTCAGGTCCCGCTCAGGTCCACAGGAGGTCCGGGCAGATGTGTACATTGGGCTGAAGTTACTGAAGAAAAACAGATGGTGAGAAGAACCTGATCCAAACATGTTTCTCAGGTCAAAGGTCAGAGCTTTAGAGTTCAGGACTCTTTAAAGGACGGGACTCACCAGGAAAGATCTGTTTTCACCTACCCCCTGTCTCCGCCCACTTTTCTGCCGCTCTTTTGAAAAACTCAGACTCCAGGTGAGAGAAAAACACGTTTGTGCTCTGGGTAAAGCTGCACTCTGGGACTCTGAGGCCCGGAATGTCCCGCAGTGTTGTTTTAAACGAGTTCGTCTCCAGTTTAAATCTAAAACGAGCTCTAAACCCCAAACCCGAGGAACTTTATTAAACAGAAGCCACAAAATCATCATCAGCAGCAGCAGCAGCAGCAACTCTAAATCTCTAAATCTCTAAATCTCTAAATCTCTAAATCTCTAAATCTGATTCTGTCTAGTTTTGTCTAAAGATGGATTCACACGAACATCACAGCGTTTATAAACTTAGACTTAAACTTAGACATAGACTTAGACTGAACATTAAAATTAAATGTGTGACGTGTGACGTGTGAATGTGTGTGTGAAAAGTGTGAAAGTGTGACGTGTGAAAATGTGAAAGTGTGACATGTGAAAGTGTGTGAAAGTGTGACAAAGTATCAAAGTGGGCGGCAGTAGTTCAGTTGGTTGAGCATTCGCCCACTGATCTGAAGGTTGGTGGTTTGAATCCAGCTCTCGACATAAACATCACAGGTTGAGTGGTCAGATCCACTGACCCACAGGAGCTGGTGTGATTCCAGCTCCCACAGATGAATGCTGTTGTTGTGTCCTTGGGCAAGACACTTAACCCACCTTGCCCCTAGTGTCTGTGTGCACTGGTGTGTGAATGTGTGTGAGTGGTTCCTTGTTGTAAAGAGCTTTGAGCCTTGAAGGTGGAAAAGCGCTATAGAAAAATGTGACCATTTACCATTTACCAAAGTGTGAGTGTGTGAAGTGTGACGTGTGTAAAGGTCGGTGTGTGTAATTATCAGCTTCATATGGAGCAGTTTAAAGGAAACACGTCTGTGTCATTAACTCAACTCACTTTTGTCTCCAGACGAGAGGAAAGAAGCGTGGGAACAGAGAGAGAGAGAACAGAGAGAGAGAACGGAGAGAGAGAGACAGAGAGAGAGAGAGAGAGAGAGAGAGAGAGAGAGAGAGAGAGAGGGAACAGAGAGAGAGAGAGAGAGAGAACGGAGAGAGAGAATGGAGAGAGAGAGAGAGGGAACAGAGAGAGAGAGAGAGTGAAAGTGAAAGAGAGAGGGAGAGAGAGAGTTGTTTCTTTTCGACGGCTCCGAGCCCCAAAAACAAAACAACAAAAGACGTTTCGGAAACGAAATCACAGCCACAGCTCATGTTTATGGATGAGTCCAGGATCCAGGGCCCCAAAAAGTCCCCACAAAGTCCAGGCCAAGTCCCAGTCCCAGTCCCAGTCCCAGTCCGAGACCGAGTCCCAGTCCAAGTCCCAGTCCAAGTCCCAGTCCCGGTCTGAGTCTGGGACCAAGACCAGAGCAGAGTTTCGAGTCCAGAGCTGCTGCTGCCGGGAGAGAGAGAAGAGGAGGACAAGAATGTGCAGAGAGGAAGAAGAGAAAGAGAAGGAGAAGAGGAGGAGAGAGAAGGAGAGAGGGAGAGAAGAGAGCGATGAGAGGGAGAAGAGGAGGGCAAGTGTGTTAGGGAGGAAGAGAGGGAGAGGAGAGAGATGGAGGGAGAGAGAAAGAGGGGAAAGGAGAGAGATGGAGGGAGAAGAGGAGCGAGGGAGAGGAGGCGATAAGGAGAGACGGGAAAGTATGTGAAGAGGGAAGGAGACAGGGAAGGAAGGAGGAGAGGAGAGAGAGAGGAAGAGAAGAGGAAGAGAGAGAGGAGAGAGGAGGAGAGAGAGGAGGAGAGAGGAGAGAGGAGAGAGAGGAGAGGAGAGGAGGAGGAGAGGAGAGAGGAGGAGAGAGAGGAGAGAGGAGGAGAGAGGAGGAGAGAGAGAGGGATGAATGTGGGAGAACAGAGAGAGTGAGAAAAGAGGAGAGAGATGGAGGGAGATGAGGAGGAGGAGTGTTAAACGAGTGGAGGTAGTTTTGGTTCTTGGTTTGACTCGTCACAGATTCACAGATGTGCCCCCCCCCCCCCGTCTCCATGGAGATTCTACTGAGGCTCCTGGAATGTTCCACAGTGCGGCATTAAACTCATCTGACACTTGTGTTTATTCAGTCAGGACCAGGACTTTCACACCGAGTCTGGTCCTGACCTGGAACCAACTCAAGTCCGGCTAGAGATGACCTGGTTTAGACCTGGTTTAGACCTGGTTTAGTCCTGGTTTAGACCTGGTTTAGTCCCTGCCTGGTTTAGACCCTGGTTTAGTGTCCTGGTTTAGTCCCTGGTTTAGTCCCCCAGGTTACTAAACCTGGTAGGGTTTAGAACCAGGGTTTAGAACCTGGTTTAGGTCTAAACCTGGTTTAGGTCCTAAACCAGGACCTAAACCAGGTCTAAACCAGGACTAACCAGGTCTAACCAGGACTAAACCAGGACTAAACCAGGTCTAAACCAGGACTAAACCCAGGACTGGAAACCAGGAGGAGATGAATCATGTTTTTAAACGATGTTTTTTTGGTGTTTTTCAGGAGGAGATGAATCGTGTTTTTGGTGTTTTTGATGTTTCTGGTGTTTTTCAGGAGGAGATGAATTGTGTTTTTGATGTTTTTGGTGTTTTTGGTGTTTTTCAGGAGGAGATGAATCGGGGGAAACCAAACTGGGAGCATCTGAGTGAAGATCTTCACGTCCTGATCACGGTGGAGGACACGCACAACCGCGCCAAGATCAAACTGCAGAGGGCCATCACCGAGGTCAAGAAGCTCCTGGTGCCCGCCGTGAGTACTGCACATACTCCCAGTACTACTGCAAATACTACTAATACTACACCTACTACTACTAGAAATACTTCTACTATGAAAACTGTGACTACTGCAGCTGAGATCAAACTGCAGCGGGCGTCACCGAGGTCAAGAAGGTTCTGGAGTTTGCATGTTCTCCCTGTGTCTGGTGGGTTCCTCCAGCTGAGGTCCTGACCCAGACTGGATCAGGTTCTGGAGGCGTTTTGAAAAGGTTCTGGAAACGTTTTGGAGACATTCAGGAGACGTTATCGAGATGTTTTGGAGAAGTTGTGGAGACTTTCTGGAGATGTTCAGGAGATGTTTTGAAGAGGTTTTGGAGATGATCTGTGGATGCTTTGGAGAGTCTCACAGGGGAATTATAACATCATGTGGGGCTTTGTTTTTTGTGGTGGTCTCTCTCTCTCTCTCTCTCTCTCTCTCTCTTTGTGATCCCTCGTTCCTCCAGTGGTCTCTCTCTCTCTTTCTTTCTCTCTCTCTCTCTGTGATCCCTCGTTCCTCTGGTGGTCTCTCTCTCTCTCTCTCTCTGTGATCCCTCGTTCTTTCTCTCCTCTTTTGTCCGTCGCTTTAGGGTAATTAGTCTCGGGGTATAAAGCGTCTCCATGGCGACGCTGCTTTGAAAAGGGCTCAGGATGAATGGAGGGTCTGTTCTCTCTCTCCTCTATCTCTCTCTCCTCTCTCTCCCCTCGTCTCTCTCTCTCCCTTCCCCTCTTTTCACACCCCTCTCTTCTCCTCTTTCTCTCTTCTCTCTCTCTTTCTAACTAATATTCCAACTTTCTCTCCTCCTCGCCCTTCCTCCCTCTCTTTCCTCACTTCCTCTCTGCTCCTCTCGCTCTTTTCGTTTCTTTTCTTTCACTTCCCTCACTCCTCTCTCTCCCTCCCTTCCTCTCCTCCCTCGTCTCTCTCCATCCCTCCTCTTCTCTCCTCTCTTCACTCTCTCGTTCCTCCCTCTCTTTTCTCACACTCCCTCCCCCTTTTCTTCTTTCTTTTTCTTCTATCTCTCCCTCCTCTTCTCTCTCTCCCTCCTTCGTCTCTCTCTTGCTCTCTCTCCCTCTCCTCTCTTTCTCTTCTCTCCTCTCTCCCCCTCTCCTCCTTCTCTCTCCCTCTTTCCCTCTCCTCACTCATCTTTCCTTCCTTCTTCTTCTCCCTCCCTCCCTCTCCCTCTCTCTCTCTCTCTCTCTCTCTCTTTTTTCTGTGGTCTTCTGTTCTTTTTGTTCCTTCACAATCGTTGAGGGGGACACGGGGACATTTCTCACATTCTGCTCAGGCTCCTCCCGACCCCAAAGAGTCCCACTCCAAACCGGTTACAATCCTGACCCCAAAGAGAGTCCCACTCCAAACCGGTTACAATCCAGGCCCAAAGAGAGTCCCACTCCAAACCGGTTAGAGTCCGGGCTCGGGACGGGCTTGGCTTTGTAAACACTGATGTCATCCACCACCGCCCTCCAAATCTGGGAAAGAGAAAGTCCTGGTTCAGCCTCGATCTGGACCTGCTTCAGTCCTGGTTTAGTCCTGGTTTAGTCCTGGTTTAGTCCTGGTTTAGTCCTGGTTTGAGCCCAGTTTAGTCCTGATACAGACCTGGTTTGGTCCTGTTCTCTGTTTTTTTTGTGTTAGTTCTGTTTTGTTTGGGTTTAGTTTTGGTTTAGTCCTGATTTAGTCCTGGTTTGGTTCCGGTATGGTCCTGGTTTAGTCCTGGTATAGAAGTTTAGTCCTAGGTCAGTTGAGCTCTGTTAGTCTTGACTTCTAATTTCTTCTTTAGACCTGGTTTAGTTCTCGTGTAGTCCTGGTTTATAGTTCAGTTTCAGTTCCAGTTCTGTTTTAGTCCTTAGTCCTAGTTCAGTCCTCTTTAAGTCCTTGTTTAGGCCTGATATAGTCCTGGTTTAGACCCGGTTCAATCCTTGTTTCATCCTGGTTTAGTCCTGGGTCTAGTCTTGGTTCAGTCCTGGTTTAGTCCTGTTTTAATCCTTGTTTAGTCCTGGTTTGGTCCTTGGTTAGTCCTGATTCAGACCTGGTTTAGTCCTGGTTTAGTCCTGACTCAGACCTGGTTTAGTCCTGGTTTAGTCCTGACTCAGACCTGGTTTAGTCCTGGTTTAGTCCTGACTCAGACCTGGTTTAGTCCTGGTTTAGTCCTGGTTTAGTCCTGACTCAGACCTGGTTTAGTCCTGGTTTAGTCCTGACTCAGATCTGGTTTAGTCCTGGTTTATTCCTGGTTTTGTTCTGAGTTTGTGATATTAAACTTCATCTTCTTCTTTGTTTTTCACCTCTGGTCCAACCTGAGTTTTTTTGTTTTTTTTAATCGTCCTGATCCATGGAAACTTCTCCGACGCCTTAAAAATGTTCCGCTTTAACTTTAAATCAGTTTAAATCAGAGAAAATCCGACGTCCCGGAGCAGCGGCCATATTTCTGTCCCTGTTTGACTCCGGGACAAAGACGAGAGAGAAAAGAGCCGCAGGATAAACAACAGAAACGAAACTAAAAATAGACGAGCTAACGGCTAAAGCTACACAAGATAACACCACAAAACTAAACTAAAAATAGATGAGCAAATGTCTAATGTTATAAACGCTAACAACAGAAAACTAAACTAAAAAAATACACTCAAACACACACCGGCTAACGGCTAACGGCTACAGAGGATAACAACAGAAAACTAAACTAAAAACACAGGAGCTAACGGCTAAAGCTACGCAAAATAACAATAGAAACAATACACTCAAATACATGAGCTAACAGCTAACGCTAAGAAGTATAACAACAGAAAACAAAACAAAGAAAATACACTCAAAAACACAAGAGCTAATGCTAAAGCTACAAAAGCAAATAACAGAAAACTAGACAAAAATACACTCAAATATACAAGAGCTAACGGCTAAAGCTATAGACCACGAGTGTCAAACTTATTTAGTTCCGACTTTGATCCAAAGTGTCCGGATCAGAAAACTCATGTCATATAAACCCCAAAAATAACAATAAGTTCAAATATTTGTGCAGAGAAACACAAATCTATTACACAAATCTTTTTTAATTGATGAACTCTTTCTTTTACAAAATATTATAATATTATGAACAACCTGAAACTTTAAGAAAAATACAATTTCAGCACAAAGTTTTAACATGAACTTGTCTGTAAACAGGAATAAATCCATTTTTGTTGTAAAATCCTGCACTCGGCTCCACTTTTCTCATGTTGGACATTTTTCTGATGAGGGTGTCACGGTCAACAGTCAAAACGATCGTCCTTTAAGAGCGTTTGGAAAGAGACAAGTCTTCATTTGTGCTGCTCTGGTGGGAGGGGCCACGTACAGAGACGCTGGAGACGCTGCTGTGATAAACACCACAGAAAATTAACACGATTTTAATAAAAAATATAATTAAAATATTGGAGTAAAAAATCAGCCGAGGGCCAGATTAAAGGTCTTGGAGGGACGGATCTGGCCCCCGGGCCGTATGTTTGACACCCGTACTATAGAGGATAACCACAAAAACAATACACTCGGTAACGGCTAACGTTACGTAAGATCACAACAGAAAACTAAACTAAAAATACACTGAAACACACACCAGCTAATGGCTAAACTACGAAGGAAAACAAGAGAAAACTAGACAAAAATACACTCATATATACACGAGCTAACGGCTAAAACTATGAAAGCTAACAACAGAAAACTAAGCAAAGAAAATACACTTAAATACACATGAACTAATGGCCAACTCTAACCACGATAACAACAGAAAAACTACATTAACAATATGCTCAAAAACACACGGCTAACAGCTAAAGCTACGCAAGTTAACAAGAGAAAATGAAATAAAAGCTAATGGCTAAAGCTAAACAACAGAAGCAATACACTCAAATACACGAGCTAACGGCTAAAGCTACAAAAACTAATAACAGAAAACTAAACAGAGAAAATACACTTAAAAACACGTGAGGTAACGGCTAACGCTACGCAAGATAACAACAGAAAATGAAACAAAAAAATACACGAGCTAACGGCTAAAGGCTGAATTATAGTCGCCTTGTCACCGTCGTGTTTATAAATACATTTATTTTATTTATTAGGCGTCTTTCTGGACACACAAAGTCGTTTTTGATTCATGGATCTGCGTCGCCGTCTGTGCGTCGCCGAGTAATTCACCGTCACAACACGAAGCGAGGACTTAAAACTAGCGTTTGTGTTACAAAATGAAGTGGGAAAGTGGAGAACAGTAAAGGCAATGTTTGTAGAGCCGATGTAGAGACGACCAATCACAGAACTTATTGTCTGCGGCGCTTCGACGTGTAGTTAATAAATAAATTGGGCGTAATGCTACAGACGCTAACAACAGAAAAACTCAAGCACTCAAGCTAACAGCTAACGCTACGCAAGCTAACAACAGAAAAAATTTGGAGCGACCAGATTTTCAAGATAAAAAACTGGGACACTCTCGGTTTGTGGTGGTTGGTGATAATAAAAATGTGAAACGAGTCGTAAATAAAGAAAATTGTTCTGCACTCGACCCATTCACAACAAACATGAGTCAGTTTAGTCACATTTTCTTTGTGTTTTGTTGTTTTTAAGCAGATTTTCTTTATTTTACCCGAACAAATGTCAGTTTATGTTTATTTACTGTTGTCAGGATCAGATTAGTTAAAAATAGAGACACCTGGGACATGCCTGTTTGTTTCTTTTATTCTGCATTTGAGGCTTGAGTGCTCAGGAAATGTCTGTTTTCACCCACCCCCTGTCCCCGCCCCCTGGTTTAGTCCCAGTTTGGTTCTGAGGTTTGACCCTGACCTTCTCTCTTCTTCTTCTTCTTCTTCTTCTTCTTCTTCTTCTTGCGTCTCAGGCCGAGGGGGAGGACAACCTGAAGAAGATGCAGCTGATGGAGCTCGCCATTTTGAACGGGACGTACAGAGACGCCAACATCAAGACGCGTAAGAACAATCTAGAACTATTTATATATGTACAAATCTGTGGAAATGTTCAGTTTAAGTGCACACTTCAGTTTGTATGGAAAATTAGGAGAGAATTAGAAAGTGCAGAGGGAATTAAAGTCTCTTTAAAACTGATTTTTTTTCTCTCTTAAAACCATAGACTGTGTAAAAAAAGGGCCTGAACAATATGGACTTTTTTGCGGCCGATATGAAACCGATAAAATGAGAGTTGGAGGAGCCGATATAAAAGCTGATATATTTAGTGAAGTAAAAATTCACTATAAATCTTCAGTTGATTTTAAAACTTAGGTCCGGCTCTACTGGATTTTAAATTGTGTTTGTTTAGGAGACATTTATTGTTATTCTGCGTCTTTACGTCATACTTAAAGACAGAAGGTTGGACTAATTGCTTTTTACATCACATTTTACCAGTGAAGAAAGTAAAAACTGCCACTATCAGCCTTTAGCGGTAAATGCTGCGCACGGCGGTAAGTAATAATGTGTAAATGTGGATCATTCACACTTCTGTTCACAGTTCATTCACACATCAGTGCAGGTCCAGTCACATGTGCAGAGACACTAGAGTCACTTTACACTAGAACACGAGTCTCCAGCCTTTTTCCTCAGGTGAGCGACCTTTACAAACCGAAAATTCCGCAGAGCTACAAATTTTAGCAGGCGTAGAAAATAAAGTCTACATAAAAGCCATGGTAAGACTGAGATGAGGTACAGTTGGATAAAGCATAAAACACAAACCATTATTTATACATGGGTGAACAAAGTCAGGCGTCAGGACAATACTTGTAATTCAGGAATCCCTTGGTGAGCTTCTTAAAACGGGGTGGAGAGTCACTGGTAGCTCCCGAGCCACAGGTTGGAGACTCCTGCACTACAACAGTGTAACAAAACAGAGTGTTTAAGTGGAGCTACAGCGGCTAAACACCGAGAAAGAACCAAAACGCTCACACAGGCTCCTCTCACATCACAAGTCTGCACTAACAAGTGTCCTTTTAATCCTGACTCAAACAGAGAGTCTGAGTTTATAACGAGGTCTAACCTGCCCAGAAAGGCAAGATTTAGGCCAATATGTCTCCAAGTGCCCATGATATCCGTCTGGCCCTACAAAAACATTTAAAGATATATGTATCATTAAAATGTAAGTAAAAGTGTCAGATGCCCTCCCCGTGTGTCTATGGCGTTTTATTAGACTTATTCAATTCAGTTCGAGTTTATTTCTACAGCACATTCACATACATGCTTCACATACAAGTCAACAAAACAGAAGAAACAGTTACATACACATATACACACAGAAACATGTGAAAAGTACAATAAAAACACCAAGATGACCGGACTAACTCGTACTGAATCCCAGGGAGACTCAAACAAACTTTATTGATCCACAAGGGACATGACTTGGACACAGGAGTCACACATCACAAGAGAATAAAATAACAAATAGTTATATAGTTATATAAAACTTATTTCTCTGGGGTCAGGGTCGTGTAACAGTGTGACCAGGACCAAAATGACACCAGCAGACCTCAGTGTGCAGTAGAAAAGAGTCGCCTGGCACAGACTCCACAGTTCTGTATCAACACAAAAACTCCTGACACATTTTTGTTTATCGTAACTCGTGGTTTGCAAAAGTATAAAGTTTTACACACTTTGTTTTAATTTGAAATACCACAAATACTCCATTTAGGACATTAACTGCACTACAGAACCCTGTGTGCGCCTCTACTCTCACTGTTTGACCTCAACATTTGGCAGCAAATGTAAATATGTCATATAATAATTTAATAAAAAATACTTCATATAAATATCATTTTTTAATAGAAAAAATCAACAAAAGACAAGATGCAGAGTGTGTTATTATTATTATTAAAATGATGATAATAATAATAAAAACTAACCCTGTGTTTTATTAATTTTTATTAATTTTTAAAAATTATTTTATTTATTTTTACATTTTTATTCTGTGTAAAAGTTGCTAAATCTGGAGTTCAGACTCTACAAACATGTCCTGAAGTGTCCGCGTGTGTCAGGTCCCTCCCCATGTGTCAGGTGCCCTCCCGTGTGTGTCAGGTGCCCTCCCTGTGTGTGTCAGATGCCCTCCCCATGTGTGTCAGATGCCCTCCCCGTGTGTGTCAGATGCCCTCCCTGTGTGTCAGATGCCCTCCTGTGTGTGTCAGATGCCCTCCCTGTGTGTCAGATGCCCTCCTGTGTGTGTCAGATGCCCTCCCCGTGTGTGTCAGATGCCCTCCTGTGTGTGTCATGTCCCTCCCCGTGTGTCAGGTGCCCTCCCTGTGTGTGTCAGGTCCCTCCCGTGTGTGTCAGGTCCCTCCTGTGTGTCAGGTGCCCTCCCCGTGTGTCAGATGCCCTCCCCGTGTGTCAAGTCCCTCCCGTGTGTGTCAGGTGCCCTCCCCATGTGTCAAGTCCCTCCCGTGTGTGTCAGGTCCCTCCCGTGTGTGTCAGGTTCCTCCGCGTGTGTCAGGTCCCTCCCTCCCCGTGTGTCAGGTCCCCTCCCCGTGTGTCAGGTCCCCTCCCGTGTGTCAGGTCCCTCCCCGTGTGTCAGATGCCCTCCCTGTGTGTGTCAGGTCCCTCCCCGTGTGTCAGGTCCCTCCCCGTGTGTCAGGTCCCCCCCCCGTGTGTCAGGTCCCCTCCCTGTGTTCTGAAAAGTCTTGGTTTAGAGTTTTTTCTCGGGGCTGGACCCTCAGACTGTGGTTGTGTCTCTCGTTGTCGTTTCCCGTCCGTCCCCGAGCCCCCGTGTGGTATATTTAAATGCGTGTGTGTGCGGGGGGGCGTGCGGGGGCGGCGGGCGCGCTGGCAGACAGGGGGCGCTCTACAATCGTCTCTGTATGAGCCACTGTGGCTCCTCTGTTCCACACTTAAATGTCCCGTTTGTCTCGTCACAATCGTCTTCTGTCCATTGTACAAACGTGTCCCTGCGCCCACTGTTTGGGAATCTGCACGACGGACGGAGAGAACGAGGGAGGGACGGGGACGGGGGGGGGGATTAAGAGAGGACAGGGAGGGAGGGAGGAGAGGAGAGAATGAAAGAGGCAAAGAGAGGAAGAGGGAAGGGAGGAGGCAGAAGAGAGAAGGAGCAGAGAAAGAGAGAGAGGGAGGAGAAAAGGAAGAAAGAGACGAAGAGAGGGAGGACGGAAGAGAGGAGCGGGAAGAGACGAGAGAATGAAAGAGGAAAAGAGAGGGAGGGGAGACAGAAAGAGGGAGAGAGGGATTAGAGGAGATAAAGAGAGGGAGGGAGGAAGGAGAAAAGGAAGAGAGGGAGGAAGAATGAGGGAGGGAGTGGCGGAGGAAGTAGGAGGAGAGAAAGAAAGAACAAGAAGAAGGAGATGACACACTTCAGCTGCATCTTTGTTTATCTGAGTTAATAGTTTCATTCATGTTCTAAAACTTGACCATGTCGTAGTTTCAGATGAACAGGCGCCTTCAGAACTCTGTAGAACTCTGTAGAACTCTGTAGAACTCTGTAGAACTCTGTAGAACTCTGTAAAACTCTGTAGAACTCTGTAGAACTCTGTAAACTGAACTCTGTAAAACTCTGTAGAACTCTGTAGAACTCTGTAAACTCTGTAGAACTCTGTAAACTCTGTAAAACTCTGTAGAACTCTGTAGAACTCTGTAAAACTCTGTAGAACTCTGTAAAACTCTGTAAACTCTGTAGAACTCTGTAAAAACTCTGTAGAACTCTGTAGAACTCTGTAAAACTCTGTAAACTCTGTAGAACTCTGTAGAACTCTGTAAAACTCTGTAAAACTCTGTAGAACTCTGTAGAACTCTGTAGCTGTCTTTCAGACGACGTCACATCTTCCTATCGGTGGTTTTCAGATTCTAGATCAGCAGTGTCAAACTCATTTTGTTCCGGGGGTCGTGTCCAACCGACTTTGATCCAAAGTGTCCGGATCAGAAAACTCATGTCATATAAACCCCAAAAATAACAATAAGTTCAAATATTTGTGCAGAGAAACACAAATCTATTACAGAAATCTTTTTAAATTGATGAACTCTTTCTGTTACTAAATATTATAATATTATGAACAACCTGAAACTTTAAGAAAAATACAATTTCAACACAAAGTTTTTAACATGAACTTGTTTTTTGTTTTTTGTTGTAAAATCCTGCACTCGGCTCCACTTTTCTCATGTTGGACATTTTTCTGATGAGGGTGTCACGGTCAACAGTCAAAACGATCGTCCTTTAAGAGCGTTTGGAAAGAGACAAGTCTTCATTTGTGCTGCTCTGGTGGGAGGGGCCACGTACAGAGACGCTGGAGACGCTGCTGTGATAAACACCACAGAAAATTAACAACATTTTAATAGAAAATATAATTAAAATATTTGAGTAGAAAATCAACCGAGGGCCACATTAAAGGTCTTGGAGGGCCGGATCTGGCCCCAGGGCCGTATGTTTGACACCTGTGCTCTTGACTGTGATGATGTCAGACTCCCACACGGGGGGCGAGGGTCAGATTTTCCTCTTGATTAAATTGTACTTTACCCTGAAATATCCAAAAGGTAAAAACACAAATGTGGAACCTGAACATTTCTGTCAAAGTCCAGACACAAGAACTCACTCTATGGCAACAAAAATCTGCATTCTGCCCCCGTCTGTATTAAAAACATTGTTCTATAGAATATTGTGATGTCGTCTGAAACCCTCCAATCAGCAGAGGCGGTGCTACCATTAGGCAAACGTAGGCGGCTTCTTTGGGCCCCCTGAATCCTGGAGGGGCCCCCGACTAACTGCCCTCAGTGCCACTAATGACCGAGGATTTTCTCTCAATATGACATTAAATGAGAAGACCAGACCAGACCAACTTTATTTATAAAGCACTTTAAAAACTTTACATGTGGCCAAAGTTCTGAACACAAACACAGAACAGACAATGACAATCGCAGTAGAAGAAAATATATGGTACAAACACAATACAGCTACTAAAAAACATAGAAAATATACTCAACAAGAAATATACATGTCACTTATTTAAAAGGAGAGAAAAAAGGTGCGTTTTTAGGAGTGATTTAAAAACAGGTCCAAACTCGGCCTCTGGTCTCTAACAGCGACTGGATCCAGAGCCGAGGGACAGAAACAGAAAACACACGGTCCCCACGAAGGTCACGCTACTAACTACAGTAACAAAAATGTAATTATACTAGCAAAAAAAAAAAAACTACTTTCAGCTCTGGTGTTCTAGTTGGCGACTGAACTGATAAGACAAAAAATTTCCAATCCACCATAATTCAAATAAACAGAGATGTGCATGTGTCAAGAACAATAAATTCTGCATTTATATAGTGTTTTATAGTGAGGACCCCAAACTACAGAGTTAATGTCCCATCACCAGATCTTCAACCAACAAACTCCACAAAGGAGAAACATTCTTCATGAACAATTTATCCACAAATATCAAGAGAAGAAAGAACAAAACTGAAAGGAAACAACGAGACACATTAGTCACACAACAAACTCAACTCATGTTCTGATCCTGAAGAAAACAGAAGAACTTGTTCAGACTCAGACTCATTCTACAATTAAAATTAAAAATCAATTTCATGATGTTTACGTTTAAATGCTCCATGTCTCCAGGACCAGAACATGAGTTGAGTTTGTTGTGTGATTAATGTGGCTCGTTGTTTCCTTTAAGTTTTGTTCTTTCTTCTCTTGATATTTGTGGATAAATTGTTCATGAAGAATGTTTCTCCTTTGTGGAGTTTGTTGGTTGAAGATTTGGGCAGATTTATGAAGCTGCTGGAGAAAACGACACATATTTACTCAGAAAAACATTAACCAGAAGTTCCACAAACTTCAGACGATGTGTAAAATTTCTCTTCTGTTTGTTTTCTCTGTCATTAATAAAACTCTCTCTTTCTGTTTGTGTGCAGCGGCGGCGTTCCCTCTAGCGCCCCCTCAGGCCCCGCGGATCATCACAGGCCCCGCCCCCGTCCTGCCGCCGCTCAGAAACCCCGCCCCCGTCACCACGCCCATCATGCCTCTGATCCGTCAGATCCAGAGCTCCGCCCTGGTCCCGGGAGCCAATCCCCACGCGGCGCTGGTGCAGCAGGGCCCCGAGTCCGGCATCATCTACGCGCCGTACGAGTACCCGTACACCCTGACGCCGTCCATCCTGGAGTACCCCATCGACTCCAGCGGGGTGCTAGGTAAGAGCGAGGGGGAGAAGCAGGAGCGTTCACAGACACGGGTGTGTGAGGGGGCTGGCGCCGGGGGGCGGAGCTACAGGCAGCGGGAGGCACAATGTCAAAGTTTTATTCTGATTCACACATTAAAGCAGAACTGTTCTCCTCAGATGTTTCTCCAGGTTCTAGTCGTTTTTCCTTCTCTGACCCTCTGAAGTTTTATTTGGAGTGATTCATGTTTGAGGAAACTTTATTCTCTTATTTTTAAGACGGAGTTTAAAGCTCCACCGTTACAAACCCACTGTGTCGTAATAAAGTCTGTGAAGTGATGTTGTATTTTTGACAGTCGAGTCGCGTCTGTAAATTCGTACTGAAGAAAACGGAATCATAAATTTCATTTGATGATTGAATTCTTGACGTCGTAACTTTTCAGTTCATATTTTCTGATGGATAAAATACACACAACACATTTTATGTACGACTGGACTCATTCAAGAGTTTAACAATATTTATTTTATACCCAACTACAGACAAATACTCACACATTTCTGTCCTGTGCACACGAATATTTCTGAAAGCTTTTTTACTCCATAGAATGTCCTGTGAAAATGGGGCACTAGTCTTTTGCTCTGCGGGAGCATTTGTCGTTCTAGAAGAGGCTCATGTACGGAAGCCGAGAGGGTCACAACAAACGCAAACGCCACAACAAATACAAATGCCACAACACACCAAAAAAAGCCACAACGGAAATGACCGCGGGACTCTATTTTAATGCAAACGCCGCAACAAATACAAACGCCACAACACAAACGCAAATGCCACAACACGTTAAAAAGCCACAACACATTAAAAAGCCACAACACATTAAAAAGCCACAACACATTAAAAAGCCACTACAACGTGAAACGAATAACGATAAAACAAAAAATTACTTTAACTTACGTTTCCAACTTCTCCGTTCCTTTACTTTTCACGTTGTACTTCTTCTTCTTCACTTGCCGCTTGATCGGTCCGTCGGAAAATAGAGTCTCGCGGTCACTTCTGTTGTGGCTTTTTAATGTGTTGTGGCTTTTTTTGGTTTGTTGTGGCTTTTTGTTGTGTTGTGGCATTTGCATCTGTTGTGACCCCTCTCGGCTTCTGTACTCGTGACCCTCCAGCCCCGTCTGGCATCGCCCCCCCGCTCACGTCAGCAGACTCGTTTCTTTTATTAAATTGTTTTAGATCTGTATAAAGTTGCACTGCGTAACTTTCCTGGTGGAGCATGGACCGTAGATACATGAGTGGACATAGTTAACGCTGTAGCCGTCGTGTGTCAAACAGGAAGTTCTCCAGGAGGCTCTTCCGGCTCCTTCTGCCTCTGGCTCCAATTGTCTTTACATTAGGATCTTGTGGCCTCGTCATTTTGGTCTTAAATGTTCGTATTTACCCGCGACAAATGATTCTGAATCTACGCTATTTTGTCCGTTTAAAAAAATCGTGATCATAACTTAGAGCTTGAGTCCAGATTTGCTCCTGTAACTGTGAACACTATGACGTCACACTCAGTCTATGTTTGTTATACAGACTGTGAGGTGGAGGGTGCAGGACCTGCTCGTCTCCATGGAGATGGTTCTGTTTTGATGGTTTTTGTAACAGTGATTCTCAAACGTTTTACTCCAAATATCACCTTCAGAGACTAAACCAGATCTAAACTTTTGTCCAGTTGACAAATTGATTTTCTTCTTTGCCATTAAACATGTTTATTGTTGTTTATTGGAGTTCACACTGAACATGTCGGACTTTGGTCTAAATATTTCAGGATCTGGGGTACATTCCGACAGACGCCCACCGCGACATTCCGTCATTCCGACAACCCGACATTCCCACACTGTTTATGTCACCGATCTGAAACCTACTCAGAAGTTTGGAGAGTCACCTTTTTTGCCTTTTATACACCACACCTCTAAACCAGGTCTAAACCAGGTCTAAACCAGGTCTAAACCAGGTCTAAACCAGGTCTAAACCAGGTCTAAACCAGGTCTAAACCAGGTCTAAACCAGGACTAAACCAGGTCTCAACCAGGTCTAAACCAGGTCTAAACCAGGTCTAAACCAGGACTAAACCAGGTCTAAACCAGGTCTAAACCAGGACTAAACCAGGACTAAACCAGGACTAAACCAGGACTAAACCAGGACTAAACCAGGACTAAACCATGCCACACGGATTGCGTCTCCTACACCACCAGTCCATGAAAATATTGTCCGTAAAAAGCGCCGCCACAACTTGATAATTCCTTTGTGTGTCGGAATGACGGAACGTTGGGAAAAAAAAAAAAAAAAAAAAACTAAAGTGCCGCCGCTCCGACCAAGGGGAAAAAAAATGTGGGAGTGCAGCGACGTCTGATAAAAAATGGAAAATGCCGCCACTCAAACAATTAGACGTCAGTGTCAGAGTAGCAGCATTCTAAAGTGTGTAAAGTGTGTAAAGTGTGTAAAGTGTGTAAAGTGTGTAAAGTGTGTAAAGTGCTCCTGTCTGTGCTCCTGCGTCTGGGTCCGGCCTCTTCACACATCCTCTGGTTTTTCCTCACGTCCCGATGCTCATTTTGGCCTAACAGTCCCCTCTCCCTTTGTCGTTGCAGGTATGGCTTTTCCCACCAAAGGCTAAGGCTAAAGCTAAGGCTAAGCTAAGGCTAAGCTAAGCTAAGCTAAGGCTAAGCTAAGGCTAGCACACACGGACTGCCTTCTGTTTACTGTCCTCCTCCTTCTCCGTTTTAGCGCTTTTGTTTTCGCACATTTTGTACTAGCACATCTGAGACTAGCGTTTGGTGTGATGACCGCTACATTTTTAACGTTTTTAGCTTCTTTCCGCTTCAATTTTAACGCAGTTGTAGTGAAGTCTTAGATTAAATGTTAATACTTGTTTTTGTAGGACGCTTATTTTGATCACGGCTAAACTAGAGTGACTTAAAGCTAAGCTAGTGAAGCGTAGGCTAATTGTACAAGTAACTTTTTAAAGAGAAAGGACCACAGAATTATCAGATTTATATATATTTTATGTTATTTTATTTTATTTTAAATATTTTTTACATGATTCCTGGGAAATTTCTGGATGTAAACTTGGGCACATTTTTGGTGCAAGCTCCAGTGTCAAAAAAAACAAAAAGCACAAAACACACGAGCAGTCGGTACAAACATCCGCCCGTTATCCAGAAGGTTAACGCTTCAGTTCTCATGTGGGCGATGTTTATGTGTAATGCCACACTGTGGAACTTTCAAAACAATACACAATGGTTTATCATTGTAGTCAAGTTAAGATGACGTTTTATCACAATTTGAATAAAATTCACTTGACGTAAAATGATCTGCCAATGGAACAAAACTTTTTGTACGTAAAATATGAAAATACAACTTGTGACACAAGAAAAACAAAAAACAACTCTGCACTTAAAATAAGAAACAAAAGCTAATGTTGCTTGAATGAAGAAAAAGAAACTTAGTCCATTGGTCGATTATTTTACTTGTCAAGTTGAATCGACTCAAATGAAGTCGAATGTTTTTAATTGAGCTTTTCACAACGGCCGAAGTGTCGCGGTGAACGTTTGTGGAACTTCCGGTTAATGTTTTTCTGTCAAAATGGGCGTGTAAATGTTTGATATTTGAATTATGACGGAAATAATTCACACCAAAATCTCATCAAGGTATTTTAAAAGCAGAAACATGTTTTTGTCTACAATTATATCAACCTCTTCAAAATGTCACAATAAATATGGTACCGATGGATGCATATCGTGATAATATCGTATCGAAAGATTTGGATATCGATACATCTCTAGTGAAAACCAGTATTTTTGTGTTAATTGTCCTGGGGGAGGAGCCTTGGGGGATAAAAGAGGGACACTCTGAGGGTCAGTTTACACTTGAGAGTAAAAACGACAAAATCTAAACGTCTAAACCGAAGTGTCTTTCATCGTGACGTCGTTTTTGGGGCTTAAAAACACAAAAATCTGAAACCACCTCCAGAGTGGAAAAGGTGATACACTCCGCTGTAGTGTTTCGCTCTACACTGCCCAAGACGCAAAACTCTGGTCAGATCTGCTCAGGTCGTGTACGAGGACACTGAAACCTGACACATGCACAATCCAGTTCCACACACTTTTGCGTCACCGTCTGCAACAGATTTCCTCCTGAAAACACTCGTCTAAACATGGAATAAAAAGTGAAGACGTGACGCCACTTTTGCGTCTCCTGTTCAGACGTCATCATATAAACGTCGACTTAGAAGCGTCCGTAGCACAAACTCCCCCGTCGTCCGCCATGCTTGTTGTTATGGTTGTTACCGGTTGTTGCGCAGGGTTCTCCTCTGGTCACGTGACCATGACGCGGTCGCAACATCATCGTTTTCCAAAAGCTGCGGTTTGCTTGTCCACACGACAACGCGACGCCGGCGTTCTAGGATTTCAAAAACCCGCTTAAAAAAACAAAAAACTAAACATGTACGAAAGGTCAGAACGAATAAAAACTTCACAGTTTCAACCAAAAAAATTTTGTTGTGTGGACACCACCTCAGTCAGCACTTTTTGGGAACGTTTTTAGTAATTAAATCGTCAAAAACATCGTCATTATCCAGGAACAAAACCTCGTCACACTGCTGGAGAAAACATGAGACTTTTACACTCACATTTTACCACAGAAAACCATAAACCGGAAGTTCCACAAAAGCTCTATCAAAGTCATTTTAACAAACCTGGGTGTTATTTTTCATGTACGAGATCAGTATTATGTTTTTCAGCGTCTGTAAAGTTGAATCGATGTTTCCTGTGTGTGTTTTTGCTCCTGTCGGACACTGGCGCCTGCACCTGCCTCCTCAGTCTTAGCGCACTGTCCACTCCTGGTTTTGTTGTTGTTTTTCTCCGGGGTTTTTTTTTTTTTTTTTTTCCTGAACTTGTCCCGGATCTCCTCTGTTTGAAAAATAACTCTTTATGTTTTTGTTCTGGCGGCGTGAGCAGGAGCCGTTAGCGCTAAAGTCCGGCGTCAGGAGAAGAGAACGCACCCGTACCAAAGGGTCACGGACAGAGGTCAGTTAGCTCCTGCGCTCTGTGTGAAACGTGCATGAAACTCCCACAGGAACACAGGGACACACGGACCAATCAGACGACGGCGAGGAGGGGGCGGGGCCGGCCACGCAGCGACGCACAAAAAAACGAAATCTGGTCAAGTTAAGACGACATGAATTAAGATGAATCTGTGAGTCTTTTGTTAATTTGCTTTTCAAAGTAAAAACATAAATGAGAAAACGAAAAAAAGAACCTACGATTTTCTTCAAAACCAAAATGAAAAAACAGATAACAGGACTGAACCAGGACTGAACCAGGACTAAACCAGGACTGAACCAGGACTAAACCAGGACTGAACCAGGACTGAACCAGGACTGAACCAGGACTGAACCAGGACTAAACCAGGACTAAACCAGGACTGAACCAGGACTGAACCAGGACTAAACCAGGACTGAACCAGGACTGAACCGTTTTCAGGTCTGGGCCCAGTTTCAGTCCCAGTCCCAATCACGGTCTCAGTCCCGGTCTGGTCTCGGTCCAAGTCTCAGTCCTTGTCTTGGTCCTGGTCTGGTCCTGGTGTAAATCCTGGTCTCAGTCCTGGTCTGGTCCCAGTCTCAGTCCTGGTCTGGTCCCAGACTTGGTTTAGTCCTGGTCTCGGTTCGTTATCTGTTTTTCATTTTGGTTTTGGAGACAAATAATGAAGAAAATATTAGTTTTTTCGATTTCTTATTTTTGGTTTTACTTTGAAAAACAAATGAACCAGTGAAACACGGATTAAGACGACTTGAGTCAATTTCACTAAACATGTAAAATAATCTGCAGTGGAACAAAACCTTTTGTACTTAAAATATGAAAATACATTTTGCTGCACTTAAAATAAGAAAAACTTTTTGCACTTAAAACAAGAAACAAAATCGAATGTTGCTTGAATTAAGAAAAACAAACTTGTTCCATTGGTCGATTATTTTACTTTTTAAGTTGAATCGACTCACATAAAATCAAATGTTTTTAATTTACGTCATTTTAACTTAACTAGAGTTTGTTTTTTTCCAGTGACGATGTTCAAAATGTTTTTTGACGAAGTTTTTGGCGACGTTTGGCTGTTTTACGACTTCAAAACTGGGCGGAGCTTCAATCAAAACATAAACAGAAAAATTCTCCAATTAACTCAAAAATATTTAGCTGTTATTACTACACTTTACCTTTTTCCAATGTTATATTTTTACATGAACTGAACGTAAAGATTTTAAGTAAAGTAACTTAAATATTTTGTTTGGATCAACATAAGAAAAATAACTGGAAACACAGTTAACGTAATTTATTTTTTTAATTTAAGAAATAGAGATAAACTAAATTTACGGTGTTAGAGCCTTAGCACCAGGAGGTTGGTGGTTTAATTCCAGCACATACTGTTGTTGTGTCCTTGGGCAAGACACTTATCCCACTGTTTGCGTGACAACAGTAAATTAACTTAAATATTTTGTTTAGATCAAAATATGAAAAATTATTGGAATTTAACTTATTTTTTTTAAGTTAAGTTAAAATGTATTATTTTAAGTAAAAAAATGTTGAATGTTAATTATAGGTGCAATTTTTTATTCTTCTTATTATTATTTTAATTAAGATAATCAACAATACATGTAAATATAAGAGGGAGTCAAATTATAAAATTATACAAAGAAAATGTAGAATATATAAAGAAAGAATAAAATAAGTAAAGTAAATGTTGTCACTGTTCACTGGCCTCATGTTGTAAATGTAAAAACTTTTATGGGGCCAATTTTAGTAACATTGGTCACTTTAAATGTAAATATAAAAGAGTTTAAATTTGTCTAAATTTAATATTAGTCATAATTTGAGTAAAATGCTTCTGAATTTTAAGTTAATTAAGTTTAATTTTATGTAATTTAAACTGTTTTTTTGTCTTAGTCTTTGGACCTGGACATGTTTCAGTTTTACATTTTACAACTAGATATAAAATCCAGAGGAAAACCCAGAACTAAACCAGGACTAAACCAGGACCAAATCAGAACTAAACGAAGACTAGGCCAGGACCATACTAGGACCGAACCAGGACTAACCCAGGACTAAACTAGAACTAAACCAGAACTAGTGCAGGACTGAACTGAGACTACATCAAGACTAAACAACGATAAAACCAGGACCAAAACAGAACTCAACCAGGACTAAAACAGGTCCAAACCAGGATTAGATCATGATCAGACCAGGACCAAACCAGGACCAAACTAGGACTAAACCAGGACTACCTCAGGACTAAACGTGATCAAACCAGGACTAAACAAGGACCAAACCAAGACTACATCAGGATTAAACCAGGACTAAACCATGACTAGGCCAAGACTAAACCAGGACTAAATCAGGACTAGACTAAAACTGAACCAGGACTAATTCAGGACCAAACCAGGACCAAAATCAAGACTACATCAAGACTAAAACCATCATAAAACTAGGACCAAACCAGGACTAAACCAGGACTAAACCAGGACTAGACCAAGACCGGTTTTCCATATTATTTTAGCTTCATTAATTTCTTAAAACTGATGCACTTTTCCGATCGTAAACAGCCGAACTTTGTCACACTGTTTAGTTTTTTGTTTTGTTGTATTTTTTTCTCGTCGTCCATTTTGTTTGTTCGTCCGTCGCCGGCGTCTCTGGCCTCGTCCCTCGCTCCCCTCCTCCACTCGCCGCACACAGCATGCCTTTTATTCTGTCACTCGCCCTCAGCTCGGTCTGGACTGAACCGGACCGGACCATTTCAAACCCCCTGCCCCCCTGCCCCCCCCCCCCCCTCCCGTGAGTGCGAGTGGTGCAGTCCGCTCACGAGGCCCCGGCGCTTCCACACACTCCATCTGATTTACTCTTATTCGACTTTGTTACTACCTTTTAACCTACACAAACACTGTAGGCCGATCTTTAAACCTCCTCAAACCATTCCATAGATGTATTATTATTATTATTATTATTATTTTTACTATTATTATATTTTACACAAATGAATTAATGACTTTTACATCCCAATAATGTGCCCAGTGACCGCTGCAGCTCTCACAGGATCACACCAGACTCAAAAATAGTATGTCTTAGTATTTTATAAAATAGAATTATGGCTGGATTAATTTCACTGATTTCAGGATAAATTCGTAAATATGTACCCATGATTGTAAAATTATATTGATGTTTGTTTTAAGTTGGATTAACTTGTAAAAATTAATTAATTATATGTAACAGGCTAATTGCAAAAGTGATTTTAAACAACTGTAATTAGTTTTTTAAGTTAGTTTTTAAATTAATTATTATTGGTTACATTCATTTTAGTATTTGTTTAGTTAAAGTAGATTTTTTTTATTCAATATTGTTGATTTTAAGACAAAAATGCAGCTAGAGACAAACAAAATTTAAGTGGGAATGTGTTTTGTCCTTCTCCCACTTTGGGCACTGGACCAGGACTCAGTCTCATTTCAGTGAGATTATCCTGGTTAAAGTTAAATTATAATAAATAAAATGAATGTAGTTTGGTTTAAAGATGCATTATGTAACTTTCCTGCTTTGGGAATGTTCCGCAGTGTGGCATTATCGTCCATCCGTCTCACGTTTTCTCATTTCAGTTTCTGTCAATCTGTGAGTAAAAAGCACTTGACGCGTCGTCGTCGTCGGCGTCTTCCCGTTTCCATAGAGACAGAGGAGTTTAATGTCATACTGTGGAACTTTTCCAGGCAAAGCAAATACATCTCCAGGAGACGAGCAGTACAAATGTTACATAATGCAGCTTTAAATTGATCCCAAAACACTGAAACTAAATCCAAGTTTATAGAGAAAAAAACAAAATGTAGTCGAGTTCAGACGACTTGAATTAAGAAAGTTTCATCAGGATTTGAGTAAATTTCATATGAAAAGTAACATGATCTGACTTTTTGTACTTAAAATATAAAAATACATCACGCTGCACTTAAAAAAAGAAAAACAACAACTTTTAGCACTTAAAATAAGAAACTAAATCGGATGTTGCTTGAATTAAGAAAAACAAACTTATTCCACTGGTCGATCATTTCACTTTTCAAATTGAATCAACTCAAATAAAGTGAAATATTCTTAATCTAAGTCATTTTAATTTATCTGGAGTTTGTTTTTTTCCAGTGTTTTTGTGCAGGAGGTTTTATGAACAGGACGGTTTCAAAGTGCTGCTCAGAGCGATGGAAACTCGTCTGCAGAACCACTTAGTTATGAACTCATTCGAACAAATTAGTTGTTAAAACTAAGAATAATTCATGATTGTTCATTTTCTTGTCAAATACGTGATTTTAATCCAGCTGTGATTTTTATTTAAAGGTCCAATATTTGACTAAACTGACCCCGGTGAGATTTAAGTCAATCTCCGAAGCTCCAAACGCTCTGCTCCACCTTGTGATGTCATGAAGTGGTAGTTTCCATGTGAACAGCTCCTTTTACCTTTAGTTCAGATCAGATTTATTTCAGTCGAGTTCAGCGGCTCCAGGACTGAAATGATTCTAGGTGAAGGTGTGTGGAGTTTAAAAACACGGTGGAGCACTTCCTGTAGCACCACACGATGACATCACAAGGTGGAACAGAGTGTTTGCAGGCTGAGAGAAGAACTCGTGTTAAATTTGCAGGTTTGTGTGTTTAAAATATATGAATAAAACCAAAAAAAACCACAACCCCAGTTCTGTTTGTGACGAGGAAACCACATTAGAACGATGGACGATCATTTGTTTCATCAGATTTTGAATTTTAAATATCGTTAATTTTTTAACTTTATCTGACCCGGTAGCAAACAGGAAACGGAGCAGTGAAGCGATCTGATTGGTCAGAATTCGCCTCAGCAAAACCCCGAGCCCCGCCCACAAATGAGAACCATTAGGAAACAGCCTCCTCTTCCTCACGTCTCCGATCTTTGTTACTAATTTTACACTTTGAACTTTATACTCTGAATTTGAGAACTTAAAAATATCTGCGCTGAATATTTAAAAGGTTACATTTTTGTTTTGAATTTGAAACATATTGAAAAAGTACACTTAGAATTTCAGCAACTAAAATTCGGAATAAAAATAATTCAAACATCTTTTTTCAGAGTTAAAAAATTCAAAGTGAGAAATTCAGTCTTATTTAAAATTCAAAATCTGATGGAACAAATTATCTTCCATAGCGGCGTTTGAAAACTCTAAATCTGATGAACCCAACAGAACACTGGGATGATGTGACAGTGTGATATTGGACCTTTAAAGGGATAGTTCGGGTTTTTTGACATGTATCTATGTCGTCCCCGTCAGCAGTGTCGTACATCCACACTGACTCACCCCCGACAGCGTCCGGTGAACCGAGATACTGGCTGTTTTCGGTGCTGATGAAAGTCGTCCGGCAAGTTGTTCTGGGGACAGTAAAATAAAGTGTTTTTCTTCTCAAAACAACATGTGTTAAAAAGAGTGACACATTTGCATCACAAAACCTCCGTCCTCCAAAAAAGTCAGACCTCATAATCACTTGGCACTATTTTCTCTCCGTTCGTATCACTGCGCCCTGCCGCCAGGTGACAGCCGCGCACGAATCCATCACTTTCTGCAGTTGTTCTGCAGTGTTTACACGCTCAGACGCCGCGACGTGAGAGAGTTAACGTGAGAGCCAGAGCCATAAGTATATAAGTTAGTATAAGACACATAAGAATATATCTAAAAAATGATGCAAACTCTTGATTCTCCAGGCTGTGAACCAGGCACCTGTCACCTGGCGGCAGGGCGCAGTGATACATACGGAGAGAAAATAGTGCCAAGTGATTATGAGGTTTGACTTTTTAGAGGACGGAGGTTTTGTGATGCAAATATGTCACTCTTTTGAACACATGTTGTTTTGAGAAGAAAAACGCTTTATTTTACTGTCCCCAGAACAACTTGCCGGACGACTTTCGTCAGCACCGAAAACAGCCAGGATCTGGACTCACCGGACGCTGTCGGGGGTGAGTCAGTGTGGATGCATCACACTGCTCATGGGAATGACAGACAGATTCATGTCAAAAAACCCAAACTATCCCTTTAAGTGCAGAAGCTCTTGGTCCTGTGGGAGCTGCAGACGTCCTGTAAAAGTACTACTTTAACACAGCGCTGCGTTAACTACTGAGACTGTGTTAGCGGTGTTTAAATCTGACTGTACTCGTCTGTCTGAGTGTTTACAGCCCCTCCTCTCCGTCTGCACGCTCACACTCACTGGTGCTGCTCTTGTGTATATAGGGAAAAGCCTTTATGAAGAAAACGCTTTGGAAATACTCTAGAGTTTTTATTAGTTTTTAGTTTGTACATTTTTTTGTTTCTACGATGCTTTTTATATAGAAAAGTGTATATTCAAATGAGTGTGTAGCTACTGTTTTGAAGCGCGGTTCTATTTAAATCCGGGTGGTTCCTCGTCGTTCCACCGGCCTTATGGTGTTCTGTATCTATATATTATATCTGTGTGAAAGAAAAACACTACAGGCAATAAAGATGGTTATTGAAATGAATCTGTAAATGTTTCGGACCAAATTCTTGTAGTTTGTAGTTTTGATGTCTTCTAAAACCATCACTTTTAACACTCATCGCTGTCTCTTTTGCTTAACGAAGCTAATCCTTAAAACGAATCATACTCAGTTAATCACCCGCCGCTCCGAAGCACAGAGTTTGTGTGTCTGTTTTTACGCCCAGGTTTACGGTAACGGTTTGGTGAGAGTTTGGTCGGGTTTGTGTTGGTTTGACAAACAAACGTTACGGTTTAATTTGGTCAAAACGATATAATAAAAAGCAAAAACAAGCTAGCGTATCCATTAGCATCATAAAGCTAACAGAGAGTTTTTAAATTAAACCAGTGGAGATTTTACGATGTTAAGTAGCGACTCGCCTTAGTGTTCTTTCAAAAGTTTTCTGACACTTTAGAGCGGGGTGTGCAAACTACGGCCAGGGGGCCATATGCGGCCCTTTAATCTTTTTAATCCAGCCCGCCAAATTTGAATAATAATAAATAATCCTCATCATTTTGAGTTTCTTCAGTCTGTGTGTTTCAGAACCTCGATCTGATTTGCCGTTTCATTGCACTTTCTCGAGGTGGACGTCGGTTTTCCCCGAGTCATTAGCAATTTAGCCTGTTAGCACCATTAGCTTTAATTAGCACTAGTTTCTTTAGCGTAAACACACATGGTTTCATGATAAAACCTCATTTTATAAACACAGACGCCCTGGTTATGTCAGAGTAACATGTTTGATATTTTATTTGACGTTTTCCGTCAAATCGTAGCTTATTTTTGAAGTTAAGAGTCACTTTCGTCGTTAAGTATATACTCTAGCTAAACTTGCTGATTCTGTGTAAACTTAAAAAAATTAATTAATTAATTTTAAAAATATATAAAATTAATTAATTAATTAATAATAATAAAAAATTCTGTGTAAACTTTTAAAAAAAATTAATTAATAAAAAAATAAATAAAATTTAAAAAACTAAATAAAAAACAAATAAAATTAATAAAAACAAAATTTAAAAATCTGTGTAAACTTAAAAAAAAAAATTAATAAATTTAAATAAATAAATAAAATAAAAATTAAAAAAATAAATTTAATAAAAAAAAAACAACCAAAATAAAAATAAAAAAATTCTGTGTAAACTCCTCGGACTTTGAACCACGCAAACTTCACCAAACCTTCACAAACTTATCGTATTTCTCGGCGTAAAGTTCCTGACTAAACCCGGGGTCCGTCTGTAAAAGGGCTCCCCTCTGAACCATGCTCCTGTCTCATGGTTTCTGGTTTCTTTAGCATGAGTAGCGTTAGCGGCGCGCGGTGGCACGAGCTCCCATAGACGTAACACTGGAGCATTAGCCACGAGCTAACGGGCGGCGCTGACGGTGAAACGAGTGGAAACTGAAGCGGAAACAAAACAAACGATCTTTAAAACCACTGCAGATGTTGAGTTTTTTTGTTCAGTTTTCTCTGGGTGTAGATTTTATTGAATATTTATTATTATTTAGTTTAGTTTATTTAGTTTATTTTTTTTTATTATTTTATTTTATATTTTTTTTTATTGTTTTATGTCACACAAAGATTTAAATCAGGTTCTGATGTTCCACCTGGTGATGTCATGAGGTGGGAGTTTTAAAGTGAACAACGAAATTTTACCTTAAGTTCAGTCAAGACGGAAAACTCCAGATAATACTACAAATACTACAAATATTACAACTACTACAACTACAAATACTACTACTACTACAACAGATACTACTACAAATACTGCAAATACTACAAATACTACAAATATTACAACTACTACAACTACAAAATACTACTACTACTACAACAATACTACTACAAATACTGCAAATACTACAAATACTACTACTGTAAATACTATAACTACTACTACTACTGCAAATACTAGTACTACTGCTACAAATACAACAAATACTACTACTATAAATACTACTACTACTACTACTCCTGTTACTACTATTACTCATACTACTACGACTCATACTACAACAACAAATACTACTACTATAAATACTGCTACTACTACAAATACTTACTACTACAAATACTACTACTACTAAATACTACTACAAATACTACTACTGCAAATACTAGTACTACTACTACAAATAGAACAAATATTACTACTACTGCAAATACTAGAAATACTACTACAAATAATACTACAAATACTACTAACAGTACTACAAATACTACTGCAAATACTACTGCAAACACTACTACAAATACTTCTAATAGCACTACAAATACTACTACTACAAATATTACTGCAAATACTGCTACTACTACTGCAAATAGAACTACAAATACTTCTACCTCAGAGAAAAGATCTCAGCAGAAAATCAAACTTTTACTTTAGTTGGACGTAAAATTCTCTTTTGTCAGGACTTTGAGATAGATTTTTTTTCTGATAAACTAATCATTTTTTAGTAACTTTCTATTTTTCGTAACCTTCTTAGAGTCGGGTTCTTGTGTCTAACTCACTCCACTCGTTTTACTGTCACCGCGGCCCCTAAACCGGCCCTGAACCGGCCCCTGGGAGCCCCCGGGCCGCCCCGCTGTTCTTGTACCATCCTTAAATCCACTCGCTGACACTAATCTCTCTCTCTCTCCTCTCTCCTTGTTTTGTTTCCTCGTTTCCTTTCCTTGGTCCCTTGTCTGTCTAACTCTAGCTGCCACGGCCACTAACCCATGACCCCGCCCACTCCTGCCTGCGGGCGCGCTCATTGGCTCACGGCCGCGCCACTCACCTCCCTGCGGCCGACCAGAGACCGGCATCCGCAGCGACTGACCAGGAAGTGCTTCTAACCAGGAACTAAACCGCAACAAGGACTTTACACACCGACAACTATCGCCACGGAAACGGAAACCCTCCACGTCCGACGAGCGGGCGAACGCCGAGCTCGCAGAGAACCACGTACAAAAAAGATTTTCTCTGGGTTTAAGGCAACGGAACACGAGCGTTTTGACCAGATTTAATGCTACTTTTGTGGGAATTCAAGTTTATAAAATTCTTCCTTTTTTTTATAATGAAACGCCAAGAATATTACGGAAAACTCAGGTCAAAAAATGATGTTTCGCCAACTTATTTTTAAAAGGTCCACGTGACTCTTAAGGTTTTTAATCTGTTCTGTTGTCGTTTCCTCCTCAAACAGACCTCGAGTTGTTCTGTTTTTTGACGAGGGAACAGCTTTAGAACTTGGATTAAACCTCACAAGAGTCAGTTTTACAAAATATAAGACCTTTAAAAGTATAAAAAAAGTGCCTAAACTTTTATTTTTATGATGAAATTTAAACAGATTTCATATTTCCAGGTCCAGTCGTGCCTTGAACCGAAACAAAACTGTGATTTTCTAAGAATCAGTGCCTCGTTTTTCCAGCCAAACATCAGAGTGCCTTTTATATTTATGCAATAATAATGAAATTAAAAGTTCTAATGATGTGATAACGACACATTAATCTCATAAAACTGTTAATCTGAGTTTAACTGCACTGAAAATAACGCACACTAATGTTTAAATGACAGGTCCAGATCTTCCTCAGACTCGGTGGACGCTGCAGATACCCACAGAATTCCTTTCAATTTTCTATTAAATTTGAGAAAAAGTTTTTAAAAGACGAGGCGCCGTTCGTCTCGAGTCACTGTGAGGTTCTGCAGTCCACCAGAGAAAAGTTTTTGTGACATTTATTTTCTATTTTCCTTTAGAAACATTCAAAACTTTTCCACAAAACTCTCATGGATTTTGTTACGAGAAAAATGTGTTCAGTGCCTTTAAAGCCGCACTGCGTAACTTTC